CATCTCTCTTCTCTCTCATTCGACAAAAGTTTCACGACGTCTATTCTCTTCAAATCGGCGCTTCTTGCCGGAGCGTCGCACGTCATCAGTCTCCAGCGAGAAATCAATTTCATCTCAAATCCCAAAAACTGATGGCATCTTCTTCTTTCGGTAGCGAGAAGAAATCAATTTCATCTCAAGTCCCAAAATCCCAAAAACTGATGGCATCTTCTTCTCTCAGCGAGAAATCCTTTCCCTGCCAAGTACAGTAATTAATCTTCCTCTCCTTAAACTTTTCTTCTTATTCGAATCTGAAATTAAAATTTGTGATTTGTAGTTACGATTGGTATACGGTACCTGGGCTGCTGCCGAAGCCGTCAAGAAGATAAAAAACCTGGAGATTTGTACATTTTTATAAGTATAAGATATTACCCTTACTAAGCATCTCGTTATTTTTATGGATTCGAGACTCCTCTTCTTGAGGATGATGAAACAGCGGAGTCATGTTTGGCAAGGATCCCTTCAACCCTGAAGAAAGGAGATGTGCTTTATATTGAAGTTTGGGGAAAGGAGGCGGTAGAGAAGGCGGTGGCACTTACTGGAACTGAAGTTGCAGGACTCAAAATTCTTGACTTCAACCAACATTATCTTAGCTAGTTAGTTACCTACTGTTATTGACCACCAGTGATTGTCTACTGCTAATACGTGATTACAAGAGTCTCGCTAAAACAAAAATATGTGCATATTTCAGAATGTCTAGTGCTTCTCTCCTTTGAAGCCATTGTATATATTTTGTCATTCTTAGCTTTGACACATTATCCAAGGGAAAGACCAGAGGTTTATACAATAAAAGAAACAAGAGAGGTTCTTGCACTTCTATCAACAAGAATGCAAACCTATCCACTACGAGATAATAGATGATCAAATTCATCCTTTGCAAACTTGCCTTTGTTATGTGTCACTTTTGTACATCAAAGTAAAGCTAATTGTTCTGGTTGGAGAAGTGGGTTCTAGACAAACATCCGAGGAGACCAATGAATATGCAACCTTTGGTTGATCTTAACTTGGATGTTTCGGAGTTGATTACGGCTGAAAACAGGTGGAATATAGAGTTGGTGCAACACCTTTTTCCACCAGCGGATGTAAGCCGGATTCTAAATATTCATGTTGGTAAAGTTGCTGATCGACAGATATGGGCTTATACGGATAATGGCTCTTACACAGTGCGCAGTGGGTTCTGGCTTGTGTCACAAATAGCAGATGGAACTAGTTTGCAAACTAACCAAGATCGGATTCGAATAGAGTTAAAGCAGAGGATATGGAAGCTCAAGACCTTACCGAAGATTAGAATTTTCTTATGGCGAGCGGTGTCCGGAGCTTTAGCAGTTGCGGAGCGTCTACAAACCAGAGGAATTGGTGGCGATATAACTTGCAAATTGTGCGGGCAAGAGTCTGAAAGTATATGTCATGTTCTGTTTCGGTGTTCCAATGCACAAGGAATTTGGGATGAGGATAATATTTCAGCTCCAACATCGGGTTTCTTTATTACACTAGAAGAGAACCTCAAGTATATGTTGGATCTGTTTGAAAACAGAGGATTGTCCGAACCCTGCTATGGTGCATTTGGAAAAGTAGAAATGCAATTCTTATTGCTAGCAAGCAGGTCAGTGTTTCGGTGTTAGCTGAAAGTGCTATTCAAGAGGCTAAAAGATGGTTGGACTTGAACTTGAACATAGAGGGAATTGGTCAAAATGGAGATACTTCTTCAGGATTGATTGAGAGATGGCTCAAGGAATGGTCAAATGCAACTTGAATGCCAATTGGAGGAATGCGTCTCTTCATAGTGGTGGAGCTTGGTTGGTCCGTGACCATACTGGATCAGTTTATATCATGCGCGAGAAGCCTTTAAAAGATCTCAGAACCGGACGATATCGGAGCTGCGCTGCATACTCTGGACATTGCAAAGCCTTCTGGATCTCCACATCGTAGATGTGTTTGGTGGTGAGTGAATGTAAATCTGCAATTGAAGCACTTTCTAAACCATTGGAGTGGCCGCGGTATCGTATTCTTACTGGCTTGAAGACACAGTTTGTAAATTGCTGTTTGGAGCTGGAAGCTTATCGAGCAAACTCTGTTGCACGAGACATTGCCAAAAGCGTTACCAGGGATGGTAGGTTTCATTCGTATCTTTCAATGGGTGGGCCTGCTTGGCTTCACGATCGCATCGTCGGGGAAGCATTATAGGAACGTCGCTATGTCCTTCTGTTTAGGATTTTGATGTTCCTTCTCTTTTCTTTTCTTTCATAAGTTTGAGATCTTGTATCATAACTATGGTTATTACGTGACCAAAAAAAAAAAAAAACTATGGTTATTACCAAATTGCAATAAAATTTCTAGACGACAAAAAAAAAAGTAAAGCTAATTGCTATTACTTCATGACTATTTTAAAGGCCCATTATGATATCTAAGGCCCAAAGTGAGTAGGGTTTCTATATTTCTTTGTTATCATCGTGACTTCGGCTTCAAGTTTAGGGTTTTTAGCTGTTTCACCTCTCCATTTTTTGTATCTATCTAAAACACACACACACACCTTACCCCTAATTTCCCATAAACCCTTTTCTGAAAAAAAAAAAAAAACTTAAGAGATGGTGAGAAGAAGAAGCAGTGTTCCTGTTCGAGGATTTACGAATCTAGTTCAAGAATCATGGAAGAAAGGATTAAACTTGGAGGAGATCGTAAATGAGCTACGTTCCAAGAACCGTGAATGCGTTCGAAAGAGCCCAAAGAACCTCATGGTCAAAGTCAAACAAATCGTAAAATCACTGAGTAACGAAGAAGAGGAAAGTAATGGAATTAGGAAGAAACAGAGACTAAATGATCCAGAACAGAGGAATTCAGATTTTGATATATCATCAGGAATAGACGAGTTGGATTCATTTTCTGGAAACGATGATCTGCAGTTTGATATCACCAACGATGGTCTACGAGCTTCCTACTCTAATAAATCAAGAACTAGGCTTTTGCGTGTAGAGGAGAAAACGAAGAAGACAGAGAGAGGTAAGAGTTGTGATGTAGAGGTTAAAGGACCGACTTTTAAGGACTTTGGTGGGTTAAAGGATGTGGTGGATGAGATGAATCGGTATGTAAAACGTCCTCTTTTGTTTCCTGACATAGTACAAGGTCTTGGTCTGAAACCACTTTCTGGTCTCTTACTTCATGGTCCACCTGGTGGTGGCAAGTCCACACTGGCTTATGCAATCGCCAACGAAGCTGGTGTACCTTTTTATATGCTTTCTGCTTCTGAATTGGTTTCTGGTGTTTTCGGTACGATCGATGTAACATCCCTGACCCGGATTAGGTCAACGTTGACCCGATTGGCCGCGCAACAATCAAACAAGAACATGCGCAACCAACCGTAGACCCGGAATCAGACCAAAGATGCTACATATGTGCACTAAGCCGTTCGTTTTGAGGTTCTAGAAACACAGTCAAGAACCCTAGACTAAACGTCCAAGCACACATTTTCCTATCGAACATAACCCAAGGCTTTTCAACCCGAGTTATGAGCGATAGTTGGTTCATCCTGGACTAGGACTAGTATCATATGCAACTCAAGTTTAAACAAACTTCCTTTTATA